AGATTGAAAAAATTACAATCCATCACAAAATACAAGCCAAACATAAAAAATAAATTTTTTTGTATATACGTAGTAACTTTGTTTGCATATTTAATAAATTTTATTTTGCATATTTAACATATTTTCATGCATATTTTACAATTTTTTTGTGCATATTTGCATGCATATTTTGCCTTTTTTAACTCCTATAACTTCCGAGCCCTAATGATTACATTCGTAATTTACAAGCTGAACTTTTAGGCTACACCCCTAAAGGGCGCAGATTAAAACCTGATGCCAATCCAACCTTAAACTTGCCAGGTCATTTTATTCAAGGTGATAAAGTCTCTACGTCAACTAAAAATCGTAATAAAAGAATGGAAACTAAAGCAGTTAGACAGGTAATATTACTTATTAGTATGTAATTTAAAATTTGTATTGCTTTTATTGCCAGTGTTGTGAAGTAATATAATGTACATTACCTAATGGCTACTCGGTACATTAAAAATCATATTTGTAGCAATGAAATAATTCTGTTATTTTTGGTTTCCTTTTATGAATTTTCTTATCCTACCAATTTATTGTTCTCAAAAATTAGGTGTTGACAAAAAATTAAATTAATTGATTTAAAATTGCTTATTTAATAATTGTTGTTTACATATTATAGGAAAAAATCCTGGTATTACTTCCAACCAAACAAATACATCACACGTCTATGATAAAGAATTTATGGTTGCTACTACTTTTAAAAAAATTAACTTAAAAATAAACAATGTAGAAAATTTAGAAAAAAGTGGAAGTAGTACGGAGAGTGATAGCGAATCTCTACAAGCAATTGGCCAAAATAAGTATGAAATGGAAGAAGATGCTATAGAATATTTGGCAGGTTGGGTTGCCAAAAAATATAAATTACAGTTTCCAGAACTTGGTGCGACTACAACACAATGTAATTTAGAACTCACACAAGAACATGATTATCAAATACCAACATGGATACATCATTTATCCTATGGTGGTTTAATTGTACCCAGTCAAGATTTCAAAAACAAATTTATTAGAATTGAAAGACTGTTTAAAAAAATAACAAAAGATCAAATTCCTAAACAGCTTGGAGTTGTAAGATATCTAACCATTAAAATTTTCCGTCATATGGAAATTGAGGAAAAATACAAACCTGTAATTCAAGCCTATATAAAACAGAGAATTTTTATTAGAATGAAATACTTGAACCAACATTCAAACTTATTAAAAAAAAAACGAAAAGCAAAAGCACAACTACAAAAATTGCAGAAACTTAGAAGACTGATGACATAGGGCATCTTGAGACTGATTTTTTGTTTACCTAATCATTAACACTTGTATATTATTAGCATTTTTCAATTATTAATTTTTTTTATTATTATTATTTATTAAGAGGACGCTACACCTGCATGTGTTGTCTCCGTCTTCATGCATACTGCATAGTAAATTTTTGTTCGCTAGATTCAATAGTGTGCTGTTAGTTTTGGTATCAGAGTGAATTAACCCATTATCAAACTTATAGGTAAGAACATTATTTACGTGTGAATATTTGAAAATTCACATAACTCTTAAGCGTCCTCTTAAGTGAAACAAATCGAAATGTACTTTATTTTGACTGAATTTTTTGATCATTTAAGTTAAAATAGTAATGTTAACTAATTATAATTATGTTTATGTTTAAGTGTTTAACATCTTGTCTTAAAATAATTTGTATTATTATTAGCATTTTGAAATTATCATTATTATGTAAAACAAATTCAAATATATTATACTTTGACTGCATTTGGTATAATCATAGTCAGTAAAAAATTTTAATTTATATTCTATTGGTTTTTGTGTATAGTAACTATATAACTGTTATTATAATTTATTGAAATGTACCATACATTGATTGATTTTTCTCATTTTAGTTTATAAAAATATGAATTAATATAATTAATTATTCTAAAGATTATGTTTTTATTACTGTTGCCCGCTGGGCTTGTTACGATAGTATTGATAATAATAATGCTGACGATGACAGRACAAGATCTGATATCTATCAGAAGACAATTAGTATACTAAGACGCCTTGTGTATTGAATATAGGCAACTCAATGTACACTGCCTGGTACTGATGACGTAGGCAGCACTAGATACGACGACGACTCACAGGAAGGGTAAAATTATTTCTATGGGGATAAGGACGTTGAGTTTATGCACGGGAGTCGGGAAKATGAGTTTAGTTAAACTAGGGGGGGAATCTCGGTGGTCGAAATCGGTTTGGTGCAATGACCACCGAGCGCACATATAATGGACTATGACTTAAAACTAGACWTAAATTTAATATGATGATGATGCGTGATGTTAATGGACAGGACACTGGAGATGGACTTGACTTTCTATATTACTGTTAAAAACATTTAAAGATTTTTCTATAATTTCTAGCTCAAAATATTTTGAAAATTGTAAAGTGCTAATRTAATATATATATATTCAGTCAAAATTTCATGTATCTACAGTCTTTTATTTTTTTATTTTAGAGTTACACCAAAAACCAAAATCAGTTTTGCGTAAAAATTCCCGTTTTTTTTCCTGAATTTTTCATTTGTTTTTTCGGGTGCTTTTGAAACTATTGGGAATTTTAAATTTTGACCTACCAAAACCAAAAGTACCAACCAAGTTCACATTCCCATCGAACAAGATACTGAAATTCGAAGCATTATTTACACTATTAATCGTGTGTGCAAAGACACAAAAAAATAAAAAAGTCAAACATTAATAATTTAAGTTATATTCTAAAAGGTACATCTCGAAAAAATAAACTTTCTATTTATTTTCAGAAAGAAATAGAGTAAATAATTGTATGGAGAGTACATATAAAATATGGCAGCCGGCAGGCCGCCGATTTTGTACGACAATGACGTCACTGGGCTGGGAATGGTGCAAGAGGTTCGAGTTTATTTACATGACTATGAGACAACCTGTCTATTCTATAACCTTGGGTCAAACCACTATTTTTACGTGGCTCACCGACAAGCTCTTACAACGCTGCGCGTGATTGCGCGAACTCTATCAATTGTGTGATCGACGGATACTCAGCTGTTATGGTTGCCTCAAACAACTTCCGTGTACCTACCGACAAACAGCGAAAAGCAATTGAAAACATTATGAACGACCCCATATCGGGAATCTTTAGAGCGGATAATAGGGACAAACTCTCACTGAATAAACACCCAAAACTATTTAAATCATGGTGCGATTCTTGCGTGAACACGGGCGCTTGCAATAATTTATCAATAAGCGAAGCAGCCACTAAACGCGGACGATGAAAGCGAGCGGATAAGGTAGACCACAATAATGCGTAATTGTCCGTAGACAACGGTATACCTCGCGCGGCTTCAGCTGCAGGACCCCGAAGACTACCAATTAAATAGTACATTTTGTGAATGTTTGATAATAGTTTAGGTCGTTTATCGACTAATGACGTAAAGCTGTCGCGAAACGTGGGCCAATACCGAAAATCACCGTCGAACACGGGCAACGGTATTTCGGGTAACCGCGAGAGCGCATTATCTGGTTCCTCGGCGATAGTCTAGTTGGGGGGCAATTTATTTTGAATATAAGATAGATCGATTGCCTCCGCACCTTTGGGTATTAGGGACGTTGCGACCACTTTAGAAGCATTTACCAAAGTCCGAATTTCGAACGGCAAATCCGCCGAATACTCGCCAGCTCGGCCGGGCTTGACTAAACTCTCTAACACCGAGTCATTTTCCACCCGAAAATTTGTCCACGCCCCGTATAAATCAGCCGCATTTACGGAAAATGCAGCAGCCACATCTGGCTCTGCAGCTACGCGACCTGCCATCTCTTGGATACGTAACCTCCCGTATCTGGGACACCACAGTAGTACGCTTGGCCAATGCTATCTCTAACGCGCGCGTATGACGCTCGATGTCCTTCGATTCTGGCATAATAGCGGGTATAAACAACTAAATTAATATAAACTGCTGACGCAACACAAAAAAATAAAAAAAATAAATAGGAGAAACACACAGCCTAACAACACACCGCTGACCGAACCCCCACTGAGGTCCAAAACCACGCTCTGCTACCAAATGTTTGCGCCTATGTAAATCCTACAAACAGCGGTTGTTTACATAGACTCGCGAGGTGTCGAGGACTGAGGTTACCTAAGTGCGTGCCCAAAGGCATACACAAAATTAAATTGAAATTCAGAACGAGCAATTACACAAACGGTGTACTAAGCACCAAAAATAATATATTGCGATGCAAGACACAATAATCATAAAAAAATACAACGCATAAAATTAGAGGGCGCCCCAATATAANCTTCTCTCTGACTAAGTGTCGTTTCTCCTAAACTCCTGCGCAAATGAAATTTCATAGACTTTACTCCCGCTTCCCATAAGCCACCCATATGTGGAGCATGAGGAGGAATAAATGACCAACTTATCATTGAATGAGCGGCATATKAATGTAGCTGTTGTTTTAAATCCGTGGATGCCAGGAATTTTTTTAGTTGCGCRGCAGCTCCTACGAAGTTACACYCGTTGTCCGAATATATTTTTAATGGACTACCTCTTCTTGCTATAAAACACTTTAAGGTAGCTATGAATGCGTCGGAAGTCAGATCATCGACCCATTCCATATGAATTGCTTTGGTCGAAAAACAGACGAAAATTGCAATATAAGACTTGAATATTTGTTTGKATCGTGGAGGACCATATCGCATTTTGAATGGGCCAGCATAATCCACGCCACATATATGAAAAGCTGCCGATGGAACAACACGTTCAGTTGGCAATGATCCCATAATCTGTTGACTACCTTCAACCTTCCATCGATAACACGGATTACAATTAAAAATGATCTTTTGAACTATACGACGTATCCCAAGAATCCAGTAACTTCTTCTAAGACTTGCAATTAGTTGTTGGGGACCTGCGTGTAGTAGCCTACGATGCTCATGTTCCACGAGAAGCTCAGATAACCGTGAATCAGCCGGTAGAAKTATTGGATGTCGTGCGTCATATGGCTCATTAGCGTTTTGCAATCGGCCACCTACTCTCAGTATTCCATGACTATCTAAAAACGGATTYAGAGAATTTAATTTGCTATTGTGCTTGGTRARTGATTGCCTGACATACAACTCAGCTATTTCCTCATTGAACGATGCGTTTTGAATTATTTTTATCCAAAAGTGTGAACTCTTTTCGATTTYTTTGGATATAATTTCTCCAATCACTCGTTCCCTTTTTATTGTAACCCCTCGAAACAAATAGGCAGTACTTCGGTAAAGTCGTTCTAACTTTGAGAATCTTCCAAGTATCTCTATAAAGTCAATTGTTTTATTTAGACTAACTTGTAGGATGCTTAGCTCTTTGCGTCGTTCAGTAGGTTCAGTTATTTTTTTCTCCGATGATTACGTCTGGCCATTCCGACTCTGGTGATGCTAGCCACTGTGGTCCTGACCACCATTGACTACAGTTAATTAACTCGTTGACACTTAGCCCTCGTGATATATGGTCAGCCGGGTTGTCACATCCTTGTACGTGTTTCCATACGTAACTAGTCGTTAATTCTCGTATTTCTTCAATACGGTTGGCAACGAATGTTTTCCAGCTATTACTTGGCTCATCACTTTGAATCCAACCAATCACTATTGATGAGTCTGACCAAAATATTATTTTGTTGAGAGACATAACTTCTTTTAATGCTTGACGGATGATAGTCATCAACTTAGCAGCCAGTAATGCTGCACACAGCTCCRGACGCGGAATAGTTGTTGCCTTCATTGGACATACTCTAGACTTTGCTATGAGCAACTGCACAGTAACTGCTTGCCCTTTTGTTAGACTCCGTAAATATGCGCATGCCCCGTAGGCAACTTGAGATGCATCACAAAATATGTGGAGGTCATTTTGAATACTATTACTGACGGTAACTCTCCGAGGAATGTTGATTTGGGTTATATCTTTGAGCTCCTGTCGATACTTTTCCCAAGATGTGTGATGTTCAATTGGCAATGACTCGTCCCATGATAGTTTTAACTTCCAGAGTTGTTGGACAAATACTTTCGCCTTCACGATTACCGGGTTCACTAGTCCTAATGGATCAAAAAGTCTGGACATTTCTGACACTACTTTGCGTTTCGTACACGACGATAGTTGTTTCGCTAYTTGGACCTTGAAGTGGAATTGGTCTTCAATTGGTTTCCAACAGACTCCGAGAGTTTTTGTCGTGACGTCATCTTTGGGGTCAAAGTTATGATTAGTTGATCGTGTCGCATTTGGAACTAGTTCCAATAATTCTTTACGATTCGAACACCATTTTCGGAGTACGAATCCACCTTTTTTGCACATCTCCATCATACTTTCTTGAAGCCTTACTGCCTCTTCTAAATTTGCTGCTCCCGTCAACAGGTCATCGACGTAAAAATCTCGTTTCGCAATGCGAGACGCTTCTTCGTAATTCCTTTTTTCACACTCAGCTAATTGCATCAAAGTTCGGATAGCCATGAATGGCGCTGCAGATGTCCCGTAAGTTACTGTTTTAAGCTTATAACTCAAAAGGGGCTCATTTCGGKTTTCTCGCCATAGAATTTGTTGATAGGATTGAAATTCGGGACTTATATTAATTTGTCTGTACATTTTTTCAATGTCTGCTGTCATTGCTACTGCATGAATTCTGAATCTTAATAGAATGGCTCGTAAATCGTCCTGAATTGTAGGGCCCACCATGAGTACATCGTTTAATGACACAGAAGTCGAGGTTTTGGCCGAAGCGTCGAACACCACACGTACCTTAGTTGTAATGCTTTCTTGTCTAATTACCGCGTGATGTGGTAGAAATAACTGATATTGTTCTTTTCTTTGTTCGTTCAYTTCCATGTGTCCTAACTCAATGTATTCACGCATAAACTTTACATATTCTTCTTTCAATTCTCGATTTCCTTCAAGTTTTTGTTCCATCGTATAAAAACGTTTTTCCGCCATCACTCGAGATTCTCCTAGCTGATTAACATTTTCTTTAAATGGTAATTCTAATGTGAATCGACCGTTTTCCTCTCTCCGATAAGTGCTTAAAAAATGATCTTCACATTTTTTTTCTTCCATTGAGAGCACTTGAACTGGCGATGATTTTACAACTTCTTCCAACTCCCAGAATTTTTGAACTTGCTTTTGGATTGGCTMGATCCGGCTTGCTGTTACTGACAAGCAGTGCATTGGATTTGTAGAAGTTATGTGGCCTGATAAAATCCACCCAAAAACTGTTTTTTGCCAAATGGCATCGGTGCCTGCGGGTCTGATTTGTCCTATACATAAAAGTCGAAAGAATAATTGCGTTCCCACTATCATATCGATTTTTCTCATTGAACATACATCTGGATCTGCRTATTCTTTGCTGTTAATTACTTTCATTATGTTTTTTTCAGGATAGACTGTAGGTAGTGTACATGCTACGTTCTGCATTACTAAAAACTGAAGACTGGCTTCGAAAGCGTTTAATCTCGATTTTATGCTAGCTGTAATTTCGCCAATTGGTGTACATGGGTTCCCAGAGACACCACGAATTGTAATATTTGTTGATTTTATGGGATAACCAAGTTTCGTTGCTAACTTCATAGTCATCAAGTTAACCTGTGATYCTGAATCGAGRAGGACTCGTGCTGTTACTTTCTCATTCCGAACATCGTTTATAATAACTATTGCTGTCGACAACATCGCTACTTCTTTCCCCGCTCTATCGCCGTTAATACTTATTTGTGCCTTGCAAACCACTGCATTTTCTTGTTCTTCAGAACTGCTCTCTATCTCATTGTATGTTTGTTGGACAAGTATCATGTTATTGGAAAATGCTTCTTCTCGTTCTTCTTCTTCTAAGTGCAATTTACTGTTGTGTCGCTTGTTACAYTTTTGACAACCARAACTCCGACATGCAGATGCTCTGTGACCGCTACGTAAACAGTTTACACAAACATTTGCTGCTCTAGCCGTTTTCACTTTATCCGGAGTTCTCATTTCTAAAAACTTTGAACATTGATATAACGGATGTGGTTTTTTACATACATAACATTTTGTAGTTGTTTCATCTGTCATTACTGAGTTATCTTGACATGTTATAAACGACTTTCGTGCTCCTTGTGTTGATACTTGATTACTTGATTCCTTAGATTGACGTTTTGATACTTCAACAGCGTCTAGTGTGTGACAACGATGAGAGAGAAATTTATCAARTTCCGACCAAGTGGGCACGCTAGTGTCCGTTCTAGACACTTCCCATTCCATCAACGATCTCGCATCTAATTTTGAAGCGGCAAGAAATACCAAAAGTGTGCTCCAGCCATCAACCTTTTCTCCCACTGCCTTCAATGCACCTAAGTGGCTTGTAAATGTATCATAAAAGAACCGCAATTCTGTTGCTGATTCTTTTTCAAGACGTTGAACTGYGAAAAGTTTGGATAAGTGTGACTGTACAATTAGACGTTTATTTTCAAAGCGTTTGATAAGTAASTCCCAAGCTACTTGGTAGTTGACATCAGTAATATCTAAACTATTAATCAACTGTGCAGCAGACCCCGACAGAGCCATTCGAAGATATTGGAGCTTTTGCACAGGTGCTATATTTTTTTTGCCGACCATAACCATAAAGTTATCCCGGAACGATTGCCAATTTTCATAACCTCCAGAAAACTCTGGTAAACTAATACGAGGCAATTGAAATAATTGACTGTCATTTTGCTGATA